GAAATTTGAGTAGATATATTATACCTTTTAAGCTATGAAAATTATCTTGTGGGATTTTTGGAATTGTGATTGAGAAGTTTGGAAAAGATATATGATTTATATTTTATGGATTATACTGAGAAAATATTGAGACATTTTTGTTATATTGTGAATGGTTGGTTGTTGTTTGGATTTTGGATTGAGCTCTATCCTACTACATGGTAAGGCCACCATTGGTGCACATTGGTTGGCTTCTTCCTTCGTCCTTAGAGTAAGGGATAGACCCTTGTGGCTTTTTATTCGTCCCCCAAAGTGTGGGATAGGCCTATAATAAGGGATGGACCTTTGTGACTACTTATTCATCCCCCAAAGTGTGGGATAGGCCTATAGGTCGATTTGATCCCCTATAGTGAGGGATAGACTTATATGGCTTGTGTGTTAGCCCCCGTAATGAGGGTTTGAATGGTTGATATTATTTGAATATACATATTTGTGTTTTCATTGATATATAGATATTGAGATTTAACAATTATTCCACTTGACACCTCACAAGCACATGTTAGTATGTATGATAAGTTGGAAAGTTGGTTACTAAGGGATTTGTTTCACCTCGTGGTTTTTACTATCTTCAGGTGATAGTTCAGGTGGTGGCCCATCAGGGAAGGCTCCGGAGGCATAGTGTGCGGTTATAGCTTGTATAGCCTCCCTGCTTTTGTTTTATGTGTTGACTTGTTATATATTGTCACATAGGGCCCATTTACTCTAATGTTGTAAACTAATACTTTTAATTACTACTATCCGATATGGGAGGTCATTTAAAGGCCAGAGATATTTAAGACCTTGCGTATTATGCTTATTTGATAGTGTTGACTTTTGACTAATGGGCTCCATGACTTATATTAAAATATTTCATTAGTTCGTATGTTTGAAAGTATAAGTTTGATTTGCGCTAACGGTTGAATGATATTTCTGGACTTTGAAAGTTCAAGGCCTAAGTTAACGATAGATGTGGCTTGTAATATAAGTTTATTTATTTTAACCATGATAGTGATTTTAAAATTTTAAGGTTTCTTCTTTTCTATCATGGTTAATCATTCAAATAAATTGTTGGATTTAATCTAAAATAGTTTTGAAAGAACGGTCGTCACATTTACAAACCTGATTTGGTATTTAGTAATTTTCAATTTGTTTTTTTGTCGTTCTCCCTTTTCAATATCACTTTTATTAACTATACTAAATTCTAACATCATATATTAATTTATACTCTCTCACTACCTTTATTAAATATGGACATATATTGAAAAAAATTTAATATTCACTGAAACTATCATAGTGTCTTATAAAAAAGGACTAAAAGCTTTTCTTAAAAGGTGTCTTATAGGGTGTATGTACTATTTTCATTTCTAAATATACCTTTTCTATCAAAATTAAGAATATCAAATATTTCTTACCAGAATTTAAGATTTTTTTTCCCTAAGAAAGCATTTTGATACTCAATGTCGCTTTGGAGTCAAATTAAATTAAATTTAGAATGCAGCAAGCGATGCAAACCAAAGTCATTCTCTTATTGGAGCCAAAAATTAACTAGGTCCTAAATTAACTAAAAATCAAAATTGCTATTAAAAAGGTTTTTTTTGTTTTAATTAAAAACTGCTTTGCAAACTAAATTGAAAATATTTCTAAATACTTCTTTTTGGGTTTTTTTAATAAAAATAGTGAAAAGGTAAATTAAAATTAAAAATTAGAAGATACTTGATTAAAGATATAACAATTGAAATGAATTCTCCTTTAGAGCTTTAAACCATGCCTTCGTTGCTTCAAAAGATTTATAGAGCTTTAATTTCCAAGAAATCAGCTAGTTTAAGCAACCACTTAAACTTAGATTGATTAATCTGTAATGAAAGCCCCTTAACTAAAAGAGTTCTTAACAGCATTAACAACCCTCAGGAAGCTCCATTGGAAGAGATTAATAACTTTGCCCAATCAAAATTCAACAATCTTAACACTGCGAGATTGAACCAGAAACTTAACTCAAAAGATTAATATTAAATTAACTCAATCCAATATCAAGCAATCCAGTTAAGAATTAAACAATGCAAACCAAGTGCACAGCTATCAAACTCAATACTCAAATCCCAAACTACACTACAACTGTAAATCTAGAATCACAATCCAATTATCTAACTAAGATAAACCAAAATGCAAAACTGAAATTAGAGATAAGAATATTATTAAAACTCCCTAATTAATTGCTCGAAGCTCTGGCACAACTCTCTGCTCCTTGGGGAGATCAGATTCAACTGCTCATGGTAGTTTGGTTTGCTCCACCGAGCTCCTCAAACCTTCTGAGCATCATCACAGCGGCATGCACATTTGGAGAAGGGGGATAGATGATGATGATGATGATTCCGTGATGTGGTAGTGCCGCCTCCTTCTGTGTATTTTCATATATATATATATATATATATATATATGTATGTATGTATAAAAGAGGATGATGGAAGACCCTAATTCTCCCACCGCTGCTCGTTCTCTTCCAGCTTTTTTTTTTTTTTTTTTCAATTTCTCCCAAATTTTCCACAATAAAATCTAAGATATTGTGATATCATATCTTTCAAAAAAGTAATCAGTTAAAATAAATCATAAAAATATGATATTTTTGCCCTTTTTAGCAGTATTTTCATCCAATCACAGTTAATCCAAATTAATTATAATAAATGCAATTAAGCCCAATTTAATTGATAAAAATCCCAAATAAGATATGAAAAATCAATATAAAATCAGGATTTATCACATTCACTTTTCAGCTCTTTTTAATATACTTCAATGAGTAATTAGTAGATCAAGGATTTTTTTCCCTGAAATTTTTCTTACATTTATCCCTCATTAAATATGGGCATATTTTGAAAAGATCATTTATTAAAAAAGTTAAGAAATCATTAAATAAATGAGAAAATATCTGTTTGCAAAACGAATTGCTGTGAACCTCTCTCAACAACAAATAGTTTTTTCACATCTATTGAAATATGTTTAAGAAAAACTGAAAAATGAAATAATTTTGAATTTTGGCAGGAAATATTTCTATTTTTAATTTTTAATTTCGATAGAAATGGTATATTTAGAGATGAAAGCAGTACATATACAGTGTTGAACCCAATCCGAATAATTATTACTTGGATCTTAAAAGTTGTGGCTGGGTCTTTTTTTTCCCCTAATTTTTTTCATTTGGAAATATTTCTTTTGTTCCTTATCGAGAATGAATGTCCGCCTTTTTCCAGGTTTTTTTTTTTTTTAAGTTTCATTGACTTTAAGACTCTGGCGCTGTACAATTTTTTTGGTTATCCCATTTGTCATTTTACGCGCTAAACGGTGCGCTTCTGGTAGCAGAGAGGCAGCGGACTACAAGGGTAGCGGCGGGAAGCCAGGTCCGGAGAAAGGGAGGGATGGCTGAGGAATTTGCTAAACCTAACCATTTTTTAATTTTAAAACAATAAAATAATAAAAAATAGTAGGCTGCCACGGAAGCTTAAAATCATTTGAGCTGGTGCATTTTCATTCGTAAGCATAGATGAGTTGGTACTCTAGGAGTACATAATTATTTCTCTGAAATTAAAGTAGTACGCATATGGAAGTTTAGGAACTTAGGAAGTGGATGTGGTGGCCATCAAAGAGTAACATATGAATGATTCAGATTCATTTTTTTTTATTTTTTAAAAAATTATTTAAAAATCATCATTGTTATGGAAATGTGAATGGAGAAGTAGCCGGGTGCTAATTCCACAAGACGGGTCCCTCCAAGTTGAAATGATTGATTCTCTATCTATTTGCCTTCATAAATTGACTCTATTCATCAAGGAACAAAAAACCGGACCGGAAATTAAACCGGTCAAGGCAGTGGGTTAAGGGTTACTGGTCAGACCGTGGTCGGACCGGGGTCAAACCGGTCATATTAAAATAATATAATTTAATTCATAATATTAAAAATATCATATTGATTATTAGTCAATATTTTTTGTAACCAACGATTACCAATGAAAGCTGAAACCACAATAAAAAAGATTGTGAAAATCGACTTCAAATTCCCTGGAATTTATGTCCCCTGTTTTTGACTTCATTGGCTTTGAAATCTCAATAAAGAAGATTTTGGCAGTAGGTGAAAAAGCGAAAGAGCGCCGAATTCCCCTCCCACTACTTCTCCCTCCAATATCATATATCAGCGCATAAAAAAAGCACAGGCCCAAGAAGTTTCGACCTTTCTTCCTCTTCTTCTCTCTCTCTCTCTCTCTAACTTTCTTTCAGTTTACCGGATTTCTTTCCTCGTTCAAATCTCTCATTGAGTGCACCTATAAACCATTGAATCTCTCTCCACAAAATCTTACTTTTCGAACTAAAAAAGATGGCTCTCAGCTAAATTTTCACTCTCACTACTTGTTGCTACGCTTTGTTTCACTATGGAAATGTACTTGCTGCTACCGCTACGCTCTGTTTTCATTACTTGGTGCTGCGCGAGCAAGAGGGGAGGGAAGGGAAATGAGGGAACTTGACAGGAAAAACCGGAAGAGAGAAGAGGCGGTTTTTTTTTTTTAATAAAACGGTGCCGTTTAAGATAGCTGACAAGTGAAAAAAAAATACAACCGGGTAACCCACTGAACCGGATTCACCCGGTTTAATACCGGTTTTTTCCGGTTAAACCGGTTTTTCACCGGTTCAATGGACCACCGGTCTAATATTAAAACCGGACCGGACTGCAGACCGGTTCACCGGTTTTCCGGTTGAACCGGCCGGTCCGGTCCGGTTTTTTTTTCCTTGCTATTCATTGCTTCAAGTCAGATTATCTGCATTATTTCTTTTTCACGCGCTTTATTAATTTGCATGGGTTACATCATCTTGAAAAAGTCTAACTGTGTATCATTTTAGCTTTGTTCCAATAAAATTGTCTTTTATTAAAAATAATAAATTAAGCTATATAGATTACACGCACCCACGTGGAAACTTGTCACAAAGTAGGTCTTTGCTTTTTTTCTTGCCAGTTTTCTAAATGGTCCTTCTGGGTTAGGCTCTGCATAATCAGGAAGTTTCATTGCAATTTCTGGTATCTTTCTCCCCTTCATATTCTGCATATTCACGAAGCTGCATTCCAATTTCTGGAGACTCTATGGTATAAAAAGAAGCTCATTTCAGTCTTCGATCCTCAATTCATCTCCAGCCCCTCAGAAAGGTACTCCTTTGGTACTGCTCTCCAATTGCAGGTGAGTAGTTTTTTATTCCTTTAGGTGTATTTAGTTTAAACGCATGGTTCAACCAATAATAAATCTTCAATTTAGTGCTTTTGTTCGCACAGCATCTAGATTTCTTCAAAGTCAAAATGATTGAACTTTGGATAGAAAAACCTGCCCTTAAAACCAACATGCATATCCAGTTAAATTTCGATGCTGATTTTCAAAAAGCTTCAACCTTTTGTCCTGATTCTGTCTTTTTACTTGCTCCTGGTTTCACTGCATAAACAAGAGCCATGAGACCAAATTACCACAGAGAAACTAAAATATTCAGTTGCAAACATTGTTATTGCTACCGTTTGTGATTCATTGTTTATGCCTTATTAGAAGCGTTGGAAAGAAAGACTAGTAAGCAAATGGACAAGAAATAGGCATATAGTGTATAAAATTACAAATTGTATAATAAGCATTTTCAACGCAGATGTCTTTTCATAATAATGATTCTCAATACAGCCAGGCAGCGCAAATCTTTCTAGTTTTCTTGCCGCTTTACTTTAAGTAAATGAATCTTCATCTGCTTATAGCTGCTACTAGTTTTTGTGTCACTGACAGTAATGCATCCTTTTGGCAATAAATTCATAATTTTGTTATATATGTGCAAATCAAACCAAAAGTTTCACATTTGATTACAGGTAAGAGTGAACCTCTGATTCTTTAATTTTACATAAAGTTTTAGATTGATCCTTAGTTGTAAAAAGCAGTATATTTTTTAGTTTTAAAAAGCGGTATTTTTTCATCAATTCTCTAACCTAACTACTGTTAGTCTCAAATTATAATTTTTTTTAATAATTATGGTTATTTTGAAAACTAAACTTAATATGTCAGCATCTGATTAATAATGTCTTGTTAACAACTTAAAATTTTAATGTTTGCATTTTTTATTTATATTATTAAAATTAAAGGGCTGAAAATACTTTTTAATTTATGAAATTAAGGAAGAAATTTTAGGATTAAATAATTAATAATACACATGATTTTTTAAATAAAAAGACAGCTTCATTAAAAAGATAAAAGGTTACAAAATTAAGGAAATATACTTGATAAAATTAAAGGACAACAATGAAATCTTGTGTAAAATTCAAAAATTAATGGTGCATTTTTTTTGCCTTTAAAATAAATAGATATAATTAAATTTGCTTGTGAGGGAGAGTCAAGTTGACAATGTGGAGTTTTTACTCATTACATGATTGCTGCTTACTAGTCAATGGTCCAATTCTAATTCTAGAATTATAGAGCTTGTTTGGTTTCTTATTTTGAAAGCAGTTTTCTGCTTTTAAAAATAGAAAACAAAAAAACTTGTTTGGCAATTTCTTTTTATTTGATTGTTTTAAAAAAAACAAAAATATGTTTTTAAAAACTGAAAAACCAAAACAACTTTTACATGTTTTCTTTGTTTTTTTTTGTTTTTTATTTTTTATTTTGAAAAATTGGAGAAATCTTCTTCTCTTCTCTTCTACTACCTACTACTTATCACTATCAATGATAACTACCACTTGTCAAAGTGTAATTTTTTTATATATTTTTTTTAAATGTGATTTTTTAAAAATTATTTTCTAAACAATTTTTTTTTTATTTTTTGTTTCCAAAACTTGTTCTTAAAAACAATTTTATAAAATTGTTTTGAGAACAAGAAAGCAAAGAACAAAAACAAACAGGGCCATAGTGTTTGTCTTACTATCGAGTCCAAAAAGTGACAATACCATTGTCAACTCATCACTTTCCATACTTGCTTCATAGTTTATATATCCACGTCATTTTTCCTATTCTGGAATTATCTAGTCCAAAACCACGGCGCAATGGACTTTTCCTTGCTTCATTCATGTCAACTTCTGCTATCAATGCTTCTCTTCTCCCTCCCATATGCAGTCAGTTTGTAAGATCTAAAGCTAAAATTTATAAATTGACGTATGAGCTCTTTTAAGTTAAGTTTCCTCAAGTCCTAAACTACGACCTTTTTATCATTCCATTAATCTCCTAATTAATTAAGAAAGCTAAGGTACTTGTCTGTTAAAGTATTTCCATATCGTATAAGTTCGGAATTCATTTATTTTGCAGCACTAATGTCTATGTTTCCTCATCTGTTGAGTTTTACTACAGGATCATAATGCAGGCCGCTAAAGCTGCTATTTGGGATCCTCTTTGTCATTATCTGAATTCGAGTGAAACACGAACGAAGAAGCCTAAAAAAAAGAAAGTTGACAAATCGAACCAATGCTTGATCAAATCAGTAACACGTGTACGTTTGTGGAATTCCAATGCTTTTGATGCTTTGGAGAGTAGAAAGCCAATCCTGGGGAATGTTATGGAAGCATTAGCTGATCCTGATACTCACTTAATTGGAGTTTATGGTTTAGATGACGAGATCAAAGACACTTTACTTCAAAGAGTTTACAGAAGAATTCAAAAAGATAATCTGTTTGATCTGGTTCTTACTGCAACGGTAACAAGAAAACCTGATGTGAAGAAAGTTCAAGATGAACTTGCAAGTCAGCTAGGGTTCACTTTTAGACAGAAGTCCATAGATAAAAGGGCCAACGAGCTGATTCATAGGATCAAGAAGGAGCACAAGATTCTGATTGTACTTTGTGATCTCTACGAGAGGCTTGACTTGGGTAAGGTTGGAATTCCATATGGCATAGATCACACAGGTTGCGAGATATTAATCACTTCTACAACTGAAGATGTGCTATCCAATCACATGCATACCCAGAAGAGTTTCATGGTCTGATGATTCTCTTAATGTATAAACGCTTTAAGCTTTTGCTGAGAGTTACCGGATCATATATGTTATAAGGGGCTTATTGATTATATGTTTGCTCTTTTTTTCCTTGATAGGTGATAAACCTCTATTTTATCTTATTATTTTATATCTTTTGGGGGCTTTTATTAACTAAAATAAGTTAATTTGCATTTGTTATGATTAATTTCATTTAAAGAATGATTTTATTAAAATAGAGCAAAAAAAAAGAAGGATAATTTTGTCATATCTTTATGTTTGTTCTTAAATAATTATTTTGGGACTTCATGATATTACATATTGTTAAATTATTTTGCAGATTAATGAGGACAAATTGAAATTAGAAGCTGAACAGAAGAAAAAAATAATAAAAAAATAAATCAATGAATAAAGGACCACTGCACAGCGTTTTGGGGATGGCAATTTGGAGGTCATTTGATTGGTTTAGAATAAAGGGATGCCATCGTGCAGAAGGGGAGAGAGGGACGCCGCCACACAAGCCTTCTATTGGGACCTCTAAAGACTCTTCTTCCATCATCAATATGAGGACGCCCCACACACAGACCTTGGGGAACATTGTACATTCACAAGCTTTGATCCTCTCCATTCCACGTCCCTGAACCATCGATCATCACCATTCATCTTCCTCACCGTCGGTGCTCCCTCTTCCTTCACCAGACTTCCTTCTTCCCCCTTCATCCTGTTCAGATTTCCTTTGGCTTCACCAGTTTATTGTCACCGCTTCTTCATCGCTGCTGAATCTATGGAGCTCGTTGTGACTAGATTCAAAGCAATGAGTGGCTGAGTTTTACTGTACTCTTTGGGCTTGAATTTAATGACTTGAGCTTGGGAGCTACAAAAAGAGTCTAATTCTCATCTTTAGTTTAAATTGTATACTGATGATTTCTGGTTTGAAATTTGTTATGTGCAGTTTAAAACTTAGAATTGCTAATTGCAATTTTTGGTTTGGATTAGAATTGTTGAGATTTGGATTGGTAATTTTAAGTTTGAGTACTTGGGTTTATGAATATATATTTAATTATATGTTTATGCCATTATTGATTCATTGTTAGTATGATTTTTATACTAGTTGTGTAGAGATTATGCTTGAAGTGAATTTAACAAATAATTAGTGTTCTAGTTGAGCATTAATTTAAAAGGAATAACTTTTCTAAACTGATACTTATCAATTGATTTACTCTCACATCATTAATCATGCTAGGATAGTCATTAGTTCATTTCTAAAGATCATCTCATCATTAAATTCCTTAACATCCAAATTAATATTTTCATTTATCATTTTATTAAAAAACCCCAAAAAATAGTAATTAGGATTTATCTAATTTGCATTGTTTATAAAGTAGTTTTATTAAAGAAAATCAATTTTAAAACCCTCTCAGTGTTTTGGTACTTAGTTTAGCTTAGATTTTCAAATAAAAAGGCTCCGCGAGAGAGACGATCTGGATTGTGCACTATATTGCATTTATATTCGGTTTTATTTTTTATTTAACCCAAAACGACTAAAAAGGTTCAAATCAATAGGACTATGTAATAGTAGCATTCCTCGCTTACATTGTACAACTGGGATCACAAGCCACTTGTAACTCATTCTTATATACTAAAGAATATATTAAATAAATAAAAATTTTCAAATTTATCTTTATTAAAATTTTTTGGAAAATTAATTTTTTAGAGTCCTTATAGTTTTGGCTTATTGTAACTCACTTCTTGAACTTTGATTTCCTGCAACTCAATCCCTATGGTTCTAATCATTTTATATTTTAGTCCTTATATTTTAGAAAAATGAAATTATATATCTAACACAGATAGAGACTAAATTATAAAAGGGCCGGTTATAATTATAGAGACTGAGTGAACCTGTAGGGACTAATTTACAAAGGAGTCAAAACTACAAGACTAAAAAATTAAGTTTTTTTCCAAATTTTTTATCTTTGGACACTTACAAATCATTCATGCATTTCTTTCCTATTTCTCCTTTTCTAAAGAGAAGAATTACAGTGATGTTTCAAGAAAGAACAAAATTTTAAAATAACTTCTAGAAGTTACCATTCTCTATTCTCCATTCTAAAACACTACCAAAAAAAAATCAAATTAGTGACAAAATTTAATGATGAAATTTCCGTCACTAATCAAAATTACTGACGGATTAATGACGAATTAGTGACGGAATTCAATTAGCGACAAAATTTTTTCCGTCACTAATTCCACTATCACTAAATAATTAGTAATGGAATTCAAAATTCCACTAATTAGTAACGGATTAGCAGCAGAAATTAGTGACATAAATTTTTCGTCACTAATCTATCGTTAATTAGTGATGGATATCATAAAAAAATTTCCATCACCAATTTGTGACGAAATTTTTCGTCACTATTTTATCGCTAAATTTTTTTTATTTTGTAAATTTAAAATACCATATCATCGTCACGTATCCATCACTATGACCCGCCACGTCATCAATAGCTACCACCTCACCAACTATTCTCTCCCCCCTATTGCCACATCATCTCTTCATCCACATCGTCGCTACATGTCCATCATTATGAACCACCACGTCATCGCTTTGTCCACGTCACAAATTGAGCCAATTTGTGGAGAAGTGTTCGTTTGAACTTGAAACCTCCTGTGCGCATGATGAAACCTTTGCCAATTGAGCTAAGAAGTACTTGCGAAATTCTTTTACAAAAATAAATATATATAATATTTCTAATAACAAATACAAATATATATAATAAATATTATATACATAATTTAATACATATTATATAATTTAAAATATTATTATTTCTTTGAATTTAATTTTTATATTTTAGTAAAATTTTCTAACAATTTATATTTTTATTCAAATATTTAATAAAATAATAAGTATATTATATATTTTTATTTTATTTTATTTTATAATATTTGTATTTTTTAATTTTTATATAATATATTATTTAAAAATTATGATATATTATATTTTTATTTAATAATAAGTTTAAAAAATAATTATTCTATATTTATATTATATTTTTTGGCGACAGATTAGTGATGGAATTGCGACGGAAATTAGTACATAAAAGTTCCGTCACTAATTTCCGTCACAAAATGAGAGTTAGTGAAAGATTGGTGACATAAATTAGTGACGAAATTTCCGTCACTAATTATTTAAAACAACATTAGTGACGGACTTGTGACAGAATGTAGTGACGCAATAAAATTCTGTCACTAATTCGTCTCTAGTGACGGAATAAAATTCCATCACCAATCCTTAACTAATTTAGTGACGGAAATTTTCCGTCATTAAATTTTGTCACTAATTTTAGTGACGGAATTTGTGAAGGATTAGCGGCGGAATAAAATTCTGTCACTAAATTCCGTTACTAATATCCTTTTTTGTAGTGAAACTTATCATTACAGATTGTTTAAAGTATTACTAAGATCTTATAGTATTTATTTCTTTTCTTTGGGACTTGATTGTAATTTTTTCTTTCCGAAGAGAATTAAACTAAACTACGTAGTGTGCTTGAAAAATATAAATACTAAATCTTCAACAAATCTCATAACCTCACGATAAATCTGATGATACCAACTCTCACATAAATGTGGCCACTAGCTTGCGATTACAGCATCATAAATATTTAAATTTAAAATCTTCTAATAAAAATATTACCTACTTATATGAAGACGAGTAATTTCCAATGTATATAACTGCCATGTAATTTATGTTTTACCTTGATCTTTTAACAAGCTGAACAAGCATATTTCATATAGATAATTTACTATTTTTTCCTTTCATGGTTATTATAACTTTGGAAAATCTTTAAAAAAATCTCTTGAATTTCAAAATTTCAAATCAATCTTGTTTGCTATATTTTAATTCAAAATTTCAAATCAATCTTGTTTACTATATTTTAATTCAAAATTTCAAATCAATCTTGTTTACTATATTTTAATATAGTAATTGACTATATTTAAAAAAACAAATTATGACACATTTTTATATTTTGAAATTGAAGAGGCATTTTTTGGGATTTCTCCAAATAATAACTTCCCATGTATTTTCTAAATTTCAAATAAAAATCTTTACAAAAATCGTAATGCAAAATATATGATTTAATCATCAGCCTACTCATAAGAGTCTGACAGTCGGTTTTGGTCTATAATGATTTCCTATATTGCGTTTTTTATAAAAGTTATTAGAGCAAATGAACACTAACTAACATTCAAAATATTGCCAGTAAAAAAAAAAAAAACTAATACTCAAAATATTGCGTCTTAAATTATGAGCCGTATTTTTAGATTGTAGATTTTGAATTTTTCTACTCTTTTCTAATTTTCAATTCTACATTCTCTTTCTAGATATCTTAATTCTTATGTACTACCCTTCAATTCTTAATATAAGAGCTAATTTGATATTCAATTTGGTTTTAAATATAAGAACCCAATTTACTTTGTCTCTCATATTTATCTATTTTTTCTAAGGTAATCTTTTTAGTAGTTGCACAAGTTAAAGATTTCATTGAATTGTAGTTTTACCTGATAAATATAATTGGAAAGTGTATTCTGAAAAAGATAACACATATGTATTACAAATAACTAACTTAACAAACTTAATTAATCTATTTAAATTAATCAACTAGTTATTATATTAAGGACAGGAAGTAGTATTATTTAACTTTAAAATCTAATTCAAATGATAAATTATTTCTATTTGTTTTTTTTATTTTAGATTATACATTTAAGTGAGATTTTGAAATTTGTTTAATGAGTGTGCTGCTAGACATTCTCAAAGATTGGTTTATTAACACTAGAAAATGAAGGATTAATATTCTCTCTGGGAGAAAAGTTTTATTTTTATATTGATGAAAAATACGCTAACATTTCATTCTTTATATAAAGCATAATCCTCTATAATTATTTATATATTTTCTCAATTAACCTCTAGCATGAAGTATGAAAGTGTAGGAAAGTGGGCCAGTCCACCCTTGGTGGATTGGACCCAAGCCCAATTACAATTTGGGGTTCTGAAGCAAATAACAAAACATTTGGGTCGAAGATTGCAATTTGCTCCTTTTTAGTTCAAAACG